ATATTCAGCCGGCCATTTAAATTTTGCTCGAAAATTATTTATTCATCATTGTTCTTAAAATCTATGAGATAGGAACATGAAACTTTCACTAAAATGATCTTAAAAGGTGGTTTTATAACCTTACCTTATAATATGAACCCCCTTTATATCTTCAATGGAAGCATGTTATTTAGTATTTGAGCAGAGAATGGTACGCCTTGAAGGATGAAACTTTCACTAAAATGATCTTAAAAGTTGGTTTTATAACCTTGCCTTATAATATGAGCACCCGGTATCTCGGCTATGTAAGCAGGTGACGCCTTGAAGCATTAGTCTAAACACAGAGCTGGCTCTCGAAACGACCACCAAGGTCAGTACGATAAAATGGCGTCAACTGGAGCGATAATGAGTACTTTTCCCTCCCCCACACACATCCGTATCGTCTCAGGGGGTGACCACAGTGTTCTGCCTTAAATTGTGGCGTATTTCTAAGAAATGGGTGCTATGTACTGTGCGAAAGCAATCGATTTTACGAGAATAACATTTTGGACAACCCTCTTCTAAGAATTCCAATGGAATGTGTTTGTGTGGCCAGCTCAGGGCAATATGATATTATATACAACAGCACACATCACCTCTCTGGTGTTTATTACTTCACAAGCAAAGCAAATACGCCATTGAGTGACGAAACCGCTACAAGAAGCAACACGAATTTGCTGCAAGACAGGCATATGTAACGACGACTTATCTCAGCTAAACTCGTTGGCTTAGTATACTCTGTTCTTGTGACAACAGGCCAGCGAAAAATCTAACAATCTACAGCAAAACCATCAATTATTATGGGCGTTATAACATAGGTGTGCAGCTGGACGAACCATACACGACGAACCCCCCCAGACGATTTAAATCCCTGACGAAACAGACACGACGAACCACGGCAACGGGTTAAAGTATAGCCGAGTGAGTGGCCGTGCGTCACTGTGTGGGTACCCGCAGTCACGCATGCGCACAGTGTTTTAAAATCTTATTTTAAGATAGAAATTCTTGTTTTACTTATATTATTTTTGGGCACGCACTTTATAAGTTTACAGTCTTCCCTCCTGCGTCATCTAACTGAATGCAGAGTCCGACGTCACAATTCATGCACTTTGCCCGGATGTAACACACGATATCTCAGTCTCGTATTACAGGAAGTCAGCCAGTGATGCCCAGTGGCCTACTCTAATTGTAACGCTTATAAAAATATAAATTTCAACTATCAACTATGGCATCATTTCGCATGGAAGAAGCCGAAACTGAGAGGCAGCTGATAACGGCACAAGATTCTGAAATTGTTGAGGAAGCAAGGGGCTAGGCTTGAACGTTAGGCATGGCGTCACTGTTCTGAGAACAGGATCTCTATCTCTGTGTGGCAGTCCGAGATATAAACAGAGTTACTGAAGGACAAAGTAGCCACACTCGTTCATACAGAAAGGTTCTGATGTGACCACTGGAGAATGTGCAATACAAACAAACTGCCTCTCCTTTTGCCAGATAAGATACAGTGCCAGTAAGAAGGGTATTAGCAGCATGCATCTACACTGCAGAAAGGTTTAGTGCAGTGACTTTATGCATATTTGTGGACAGATGCTAGAAATTGGGGAATTTTTTTTGAATCAGTGTAACAATTTTTACACATTTTAAAATCTGTAAATTACAATAACTGATTCTACATTCTTTCTAGATAAAAGCGGCGTTTATTTTATTCGTTTATCACAAAAATTGTAGAAATCACAGCATTTTAGTAACATGATTACAATTTTTATTACTCTTTAATGGCGGGCATTTAAATTAACTCCGGCCCACCGCCATTATCGGAATTTAAAAAACCCATCTCTTAAAGGTTAAACATTTTGGCCCTGTTTGGTGAATGTGTTTGCATCCACTGCTTTGACTGCTCTTTGGTTTCACCATTTACAAATGAAACCCATGTTTCATTATCTATCACTTGTATGATGTTACTGAAAATTCATCACCATCTTCATGATATCAGTCTAAAAAGTCGAAGGTGTTTTGTGTCCACCAACAAGCGTTTTTGGAATCCATGTTGCACAAAACTTGTGATAGTGTAGCCTAACTGTGATAATCTCATAGAGATCAGTGTATGAAATTTGTGGAAGTTCACACAGAAGTACTGAAATTGTGAAGCGCCATCTTTCACAGTTTTTTTGATTAACACTTTGAACAAGATCATCATTTGCTACAGATGGACGATCACTTTGCCCTTCATTCTGACCATTTGCTCACCCAGCTTGGAACATTCTACACCGTTGCCTTGCAGTTCCTTCACTCATCACATTTTGGCCATAAATTGCCGAGCATAATTCACAATGGATTATCGCAGCATTCATGTTTTTAGCATAAAGAAAGTGGATAACAGCATGCATTTTGCAGCTGGTGGGATTATCAGTTTAGGATACATCATAACTCACTCTGTAGAGACCTGAACAAACACTAGGTAAGGAGTTATATGATGGTTTACAAGGCAGTGAATCATGTGGTGCTACCTCACATGCGTGAGCTCTGCCCAGTTACTATGAGGGTGAGTCAAATGAAAACCTTAAATTTGTAATAAAAAATCGAAATTTTGCGCCATTATCATGTAAGTTGGTAAGCGTGTTACGTACAGTGTGCAGAATGGCCTGTAGGTTGCAGCATAGTGCAGATGCACGAACACTGTCACAGCACCAGTATAAGATGGCTGCCCCACTTGAGACTTGCACCAGAGAAGAACAGCGTTCTGTTATTCGGTTTTTGTGTAGTGAAGGTGTGAAACCTATTGAAATTTATTGAAGAATGAAGTTTCATTCAGTATGGTGATGCATGTTTGTCACAGCAGCAAGTGTACAAATGGAGTAGGAAGTTTGCAAATGGTGTGACTTCAGCAGAAGATGCTCCTCGTTTGGGTCAGGCACATCGAGTTGTGACTCCAGAGAAAACTTGCAGCAGTTGTAGTGAAGGAAAACCGCCGAGTGACATCGAATGAAATTGCAGCAAGTTTAACCATTAACCATGGTGCAGCACACCACACTGTGCATGATGTGCTCCAGTTTCACAAAGTGTCTGCAAGATGGGTGCCACGGCAGCTGACTCCTGAATTGAAAGACTGACGTATTGATGCTTGCAAAAAACTTCTGCGGTGCTTTGAACGAGAAGGTGATGACTTCCTTGCAAGTATCATTACTGGGGACGAAACCTGAGTTCACTTCCACCAACCGGAAACGAAGGGAGCAAGCAAGGAATGGTGCTATTCCTCATTTCCAAACCGAAGAAGTTTCGAACGCAACCATCAGCAGGGAAGGTTATGCTGACTCTCTTTTGGGACGAAAAAGGCGTCATCTTGGAGCACTACACGCCTAGAGGGACCACTGTCACCAGTGCATCATACTCAGATCCCCTAAAAAATCATCTTCGGCCTGCAATCAAATCAAAGCAACGTGGATTGCTGTCCACAGGTATCGTTTTGCAACATGACAATGCAAGGCCCCATACTGCCCGTACAACAGTTGTGACAATCAATGACCTGCATTTTGAGTGTCTTCCTCATCCGGCATACTCACCAGACCTTGCCCCAAGTAATTTCCATATGTTTGGACCACTCAAAGAAGCAATAGGAGGAAAGACGTTCCGTTCTGATGAAGAGGTATGCCACGCGGTGCATGAGTGGTTGCGCGGACTACCAGAAGAAATTTTTTTCTAAAGGAATTCATGCACTTTGTAAGCGCTGGAGGACTTGCATTGAGCATGGGGGAGATTATGTTGAAAAGTGATACAGCTTTGTACCACTTGTGCACAATAAATAATACTCAAAAAAATATTTAAGGTTTTCATTTGACTTGCCTACGTACATCAGTTACCTAATATAAATGGAGGTTACTTTCTGAATAGCCATCATATAAAGGGATTCTTTGCTAACATTAATGTTGCTTAACATAAGAATGGAAGATCATGTCAAGAACAGACATACTGGCTTGAAAGAGAATAATGTGCCCTTAGGAAGGTGAATTAGTCATCAGTTGATGTGGAGTAGGTACAGGGTCTAGAATTTGTGATAGAGTAGATTTTGATTAATTACTGTTGTTCCTGAAATGTAACTTAATGGTGTTTAACTAACAAAAATAAAAAAAATTAATATATCAAGACAGCTGCTGTAGTTGTAAAAACTTTGGATTTTTATCCATTTGTTTATTATCAACATTGTATTTATATTTTAATGCTCAGAACATCTATCGTAGTTTCCAAAACTATATTGAAGTCCTTCTGATGATGGTCTCTAAGGACCGAAACATGTAAGGGCATGAAGAATTGAAATAAGAAAAATCTTCACCAGTCACACTGGGCGGAACTGTTTTATCTTTTTTAAAGGTGTTGTCTGTGAAATGCAGAAATCTGCAAAACTCTCAAATGTTCAAAGGACATACTGAAATAAAAAATTTGTGTTACTGTTTTCTGAGTAGTACAAAACTTTAATCAAGAGGCTTGTGAGAAATGTTGGAAGTCATAATTGCTAAGGGCATGGCAGACAGCATGAATCACTGACTGCTACCATTCACCATTGTGAGACTCTGAGAGATCTCATGTAACATGTATTTAAGTCACCTTACCTGTGCATGATAAGCCACTGACATTTTCAAACTTCAGTCTTCTCTCCCCTGCCATAGGCAGGCATCATATGTCACACTCTTTCGCTATTCTGTTCTATAAATCATCACTCTTTCCATCTTATCCTTGGTCGCAACAGTTGCTTTCTTCACCATAATTTTTTATGCTGTACAAAGAAATGTTTGTTATTCGATGTGTAATGCATGTCCATGCCACTGTTTTCTTAATTTCTCAAATATTTTTTTAGTGTTCCTGCTTTTGAGATCTCGCCCAGTTTGTTGTTTTTTTTTCTGAATTTTATCCAGTCTCACATATAATGGTTTTATTGCCGTGACAAAGTTGCCACATTCTGAGTAAAGTAAAGCTTTGTAATATTGCAGTGAAGAACAAGTTCAGCTATGCCTACTCACAGGAGTTCCCCTACAGAACAAACCACATTCTGGAATGTGAGTTCTACCTTTTGGAGAACCTAGACTGCTGCCTCATTGTGTATCAGCCATACCGCCCCCTGTTGCAGCTCATTCAAGACATTGGGCAGGAGGATCAGTTGCTGGCACTGGCTTGGAGGGTGGTCAATGACAGTCTGCGGACAGACGTGTGTCTGTTATACCCACCTTATCAGATAGCTCTTGGTGAGTGATTCCTCTTGTCTTCTTTATTCACAAAGTGCAAAACGAGCATATAATGAGGAAATAATATCTGTCCATTGCAGTGTTTCATCTCTGAAAGTTCTGTACGGATTTCAGTGAAGTTTGCACTGGGACTAGTGAATCACAGAACCAGTGTTTTAAATGAATCTCAGATCATACTTTTTATTTTCTGTGTACAATATCATATCAACAAATACAAGTGTCAAATTTACTCACATCATTTACACACCTCTACTTTTAGACAAATGGTAAAAGATTTAATCAATTAAGAAATTGTAATCCCCATCTTTTAGTCACAAATTCTTGATTAAAATAATAACAAATCAAGTAGTAAATCATCCAATGTATGCACTGCCAGCCCTCCAATTGTTATATATTGTCAGTTTGAATAGACACATGTCACAGCTTCCAAAGTGAACATGCAAATGTTATGCTTACTCATTTCACCAAATATGGGAACAGAGACCCATCGGTGCCCATTGATAGATAGTTGGACACACATGGATAGATTTGGATGAAGAAGNTCCAAATACCCCGGCACCAAAACAGCTGTTGGCCTGTGTTATAATAGAATTTGGAGTCAGTGGTGGCTGCATTTCTTCTTTGTCACTTGCACTGAAGATATTATTTGGTATAAGGGACTGCCAAATTAGAGTCCAAATGCGCATTGATTTCTCAGTCAGCTTTTAGATTTCACATTCAGTTGTATAAATGTCAGATGCAGTGTGTAGTTCAAAATGCTGGTTATTGGCTGCTACAATTCACCTCCACCCTGCTTGAGGAGATGCATGTCCATTGAATGTGGGTCATTTCATGTCAAGACTATTATGATTTTAGTGGAATTTGGGTCACATGTTATAACCTATTAGAAATGAGTGTGTGCAAACTTTCATTATTCTATTCACATAATTTCAGTAGGCACTGTCTGTTTCAACTTTTTAAGAATTAAGGAAATTTGCCTCAAGAATCACCAATTTCATTCTAACACTGGTTCATCTTGCTATTGGAAAGTTCCTGGACTAGGTTAAAAAAATACTGGATTATCTTACTCAAGTTTGGCTGCTGTCTCCTTCAAAATAGGGAACGTGTACTGTGATCCCATCATTTCTTCCATGTTTCCAAAGCACATTGGAAGTCATTTTCCTTAATGCTGTCAAGCACCGCTTGTAATTCCCTTTGGTTGTCAGACACTGTTTCAAAATGTCATCCCTTCAGTTTCATTTTCAATTCGGGAAACAGAGCGAAGTCACCGGGGATTAAGTTCTGCGAGTAGGGAGGATGGGGAACGATAACTGTGTTGTTGTTAGCCACAAACTTTGTGGTTTTTAGGGATGTGTGAGTGGGCACATTGTCATGCTGAAGGAGCCAGTTGTGATTATACCAAAGTGCCAGCCTTTCTTGTCACACATTTTCTGTCAAGCATCTCAAAACGTCACAGTAAAAGTCAGAGTAGAGTGTGCTGTTAGGAGGAACAAATTCACGGCGAACAATCTGCTTCACATCGGAAAAAAGAATGTGCATGCTCTTTGTTTAACTCTGGACCTGCCACAGCTTTTTTGCTGTTGGTGATTGTGAGATCATCCACTGTGACGATCGTTGTTTTGTTTCTGGATCATAACTGTAAATCCACCCCTCATCACCTGTTATGATCCTAGAGATAAAAGTTTGGTCTTTGTTAGCCTTCTCATGTAGCTCGTGGCAATGCGGCACATGTTCAAATTTTCTGTTAAGGTCTACTCTGAACTCCATAACTGATCCCAGTGGTGTCTGCAAGCTGATGGATTGTTTGACATTGGTCTTCATGGATGAGTTCTCAAAATTTTTCAACATTTTCTGTCGTTTTGCTGGTTCTTGATCCCCCTGAACGTTTGTCATCTTCAGCTGATACTGGACCAGCTGTGAAATGTGAATGCCATTCAGAAACTGCTGTCTGGCTTAAAGGATGTTTCCCAAAAGCCTCACAAAGCTTTTCAAGGATTTTCCAGGCTTCACGAAAAACCTGATGGGGACACATTGCTCAGTTTTGCCATCTATTGCAGACAAAACGAAACACAAAGTTGAAAAAAGCACTCATGTAAAAGCAGTGCATGTTCACAGCGCAGTATCACATGGCAGAGTGATGCAATAGGCTTGCAGATGTGTGACCTCGGCCTCCCCTCTCATCTTTCACTGAGGCAGGTACAACAATAGCAGTCCAGGAACTTCCAATAATATGGAGCATAAATTGGGATTATTTTAAAGCACTATCTCTGAGCTTTGGACCGGTGTAAACTGCATACTGTACTAAAAGAGTCTAAGGCAGCCCTGTCCAACGCGGCGCCATGGTGCCCATGGTATATTTTTCTGGCGCCCTCCGTAACCACATATAATTGAGCCAATTTTTAATATTAATTCAAATTGTAAGACAAGAGACATTTTTGAACATCTGAGTACTGTTAAATATTTTCGAAAAATATTATTATTATTATTGTTTATTAGTAGTAGTAGTAGTAGTAGTAGTAGTAGTAGTAGTAGTAGTAGTAGTAGT